CGCCCCTCAGGCGCCGCGTCTCTCCGCCTCTGCTGCCCCCTGGCGCCCAGACCTTCGCCCGCTAACGGGCCGGGAAAGGTCCCGGTCCCCAAGAAACCCAACTCCTCCATCGCCACCCACGGGTCCCTCACCCCACTCCGCCCAGCCTAGGAGGGGACGGACGGGAGGGAAGCCCCGACCGCAGCGACGGACGGCGTTTCTGGGACCCCCACGCCCTCCATCTCAATCTCCAATCCCGAGGACCGAGGACACCCACCTTCCTTCCCTCCTTCCTTCCCCGGCTTCCGCTGAAGCCATGATCCGACCTAAGTAGAGCTCCCCACCTCCTCGCCTGCCCCCCGCGCCCCCCAGGCACGCCCTGCAGAGCGGAGGCTTCTCAGCTTCTCCCTGCGATCGGAGCAAACCCACGGAGGTCCCCCTGGAGCGCAAAGGGGCGAGTCCCCAAGGTCACTCTCGTCCGGCGCTCTGAGCTCAGAGGGCTGTTCTCCGCCGACACAGTGCCACACAGTCGCTCACATAACCGTTATCCACGGCGTCAGGTCGCCTGGCCCATCCACAAACGCCTAGTTTAGGAGCGACTCCGTGCCAGGAGCGTGGAGGGTGCCAGGACCACAGCCCTCTCCTCCTCCCAGGGGCAAGCTGGGGCGCCCCAGGCAAAGATGAGGAGGGTGAGGGCTTGGCCACGTGGGACTGGCAGTGACTCTAGTCACTAGAGCCTAGTGGCTTCTGGGGACATAAAGGAGAGAGAGGCCGGGACCTTGAGGATTTGGGGTCTGATTGGGTCAGAATAGAAACTCCTGTAGGAGGGCCTGGGTTCTTGACTGCCCCTTAAAGGAGTTTAACTTGAACGTGACAAGGAAGAGGGAGTCCTGGATGGTGCTGGAAAAGGTGAGCGAACTGATGGAGCTGGGTGCTGCCGAGGCCCCACTCAGGGTGGAGGCGGGCGGGGGACCTGGAGGATGCCACAGAGCCAGCGGGCGGGGTGGGTCCTCTGCCTGTGACTCCCTTGGAGCTACTTCTCAGACTTGGGCTGATCCTTTTGGCCTCTGTGACTTATGGCCAAAAACTTGTAAAATTTAGGCCACTTAGATCTGGGTACCTGGGAACACTGCATATCCCAGAAGGCCCTGGGCTCCCTATCCCTCCTCCCTATCCCTCCTCCCTTTTGGCCACGCACTTTGCTGGATTTGCAGTTTATGAATGGTCAGGTCAGGTGTGGGGTGGCAATAAGATGGGGAAGGGAGGGGGTCAAAGCAGGGCTCTAGCTGCCTCAGAAAGAAGTTCCTGTGTGGAAGGGGTGGCGACCCAGTTTGGGGGTTTGCTGCCCTCTTCCTGCCGTTAGAT